TTTAATGATACAAGAACAATATCACCTCTCTAATTGGTATACGGAAAGCGATTTTCTTATAGATTGGGTTATTAAACCTACTTCTAATGAATAGACAAATAATGAGATGGGTTTAGATTGAATAAAGCATTTCGATAAGCATACTATTTATCAGAAAAAAAGGTAAATATCGAATACTAATATTGGATAAGCACAAAAGTCACGAATCAATACCTTTTCAATCATATTACAAATCAAATGATATTATATATAACGTGGTTTATCATGACCCTGCGCATATCAGGACCCTGCGCACTTTTTCACCATTCAACTACTTTTCAATTCAACACGCGATTAATCAACAACCAACCATGAATAATCCTTCACAAGAAGCCCGAATTATCTCAGCTATCGAAACTCTTTCTAAATCCAAAAAGATAAGTCGTCGGAGTGTTGCTAACCTTTACAATATTCCTGAATCAACACTTCGAACTCGAATCAATGGTTCAACCCCGCTACAAGAACGTCGACCAGCAAACCATAAATTAACTAAACTGGAAGAGGAAGTGATTCTTCGATATATTCTCGATATGGATGCACGAGGATTTGTCCCTCGAGTGAGTGGTGTGGAAGATATGGTGAACGATATTCTCGATACTCGTGGAGCACACCATATTGGAAAGCTCTGGGTGCATCGATTCGTACAACACCAGCCAGAATTAAAGATGCGTTTTAATCGCGTTTATGATTTTCAAAGAGCCCTCTGCGAAGATCCTGAGCTTATTGAAGGGTGGTTTCGATTAGTAGAGAATATGCGGGCTAAATATGGCATTCAAGACTCCGATTTTTATAACTTCGATGAGACAGGCTTTATGATGGGTATTATAAGTGCTGGTATGGTAGTTACTCGAGCTGATCGATATGGTAGAGGCAAGGCAGTTCAGCCAGGCAATCGAGAATGGACTACAGCGATTGTAAGTATCAATAATGTGGGAGAGAGTATTCCTCCATTTTTAGTGGTTAAGGGCAAAAACCACCTTTCAAGTTGGTATACTGAGAGTGATCTCCTACCTGATTGGGTTATCAAAACCACAAGTAATGGATGGACGAACAATGAGACAGGTTTAGAGTGGATCAAACACTTCAACAAGCATACTATTGCTCGAAAATAAGGTAGTTATCGAATGCTAGTGTTAGACGGGCATGGGAGTCACGAATCAATCGCATTTCAAGAATATTGCAAAGAACACAATATTATAACTCTTTTGTTACCTCCTCATTCTTCATATATTATCTAACCACTTGATATCGGATGTTTTAGTATTTTAAAACGAATATATGGTCAACAAATTGAGGGATATATTAAGGCTTATATCAATCATATCACCAAGGTCGAATTCTTTATAACCTTCAAAGCAGCATATCTACAATCAATAACTGTTCAAAATAGATTAGCTAGATTCCGCGGAGCTGGATTAATATCCTTTGATCCTCAAACTATGATTTCTAAACTAGATATCAAATTACGAACATTTATATCTAGCAAATCCTCCTCTGTAGAGTTCGATCCTTGGATCTCTCAAACACCTTATAACTCGAACGATACTCTCTTGTAATCAACCTTAATTAAAAATCGAATTGTACAATATCAAGGAAGTTCTCCAAATCCAATTTTTTAAATAGTAGTTGTATTAGCTAAAGGTATAGAGATGTTAGCTTATGAGGTGATACTTATGAATGCTGAGATTCGTACCTTTCGAAAAGCAAATGAGACATTGAGTAAATGTCGTAGAGCTAAAAAGAGTCGGATCCGTGAAGGAGGAGCACTTAGTGTACAAGATGGATGTGATATCATATTGCAAACTGAAGTGGATAATCAGATTCGACGCGACGAATGCTTTAAGAGGGGTAGTTCAAATGGGGAACAATCAACTTTACGTCGTTGTGGCTCTTGTGGTAAAAGTGGTCATAATGTACGAACCTGTCAGGAGGATTTAGAAGACTCTAGTTTATCAGATTCCGAATAGTTTCAATTAATTTTAGATGTTGTGGTTGTTAAATAATAATTTGAAGTGGTTGAATGGTGAAAAAGTGCGCAGGGTCCTGATATGCGCAGGGTCATGATAAACCACGTTA